GCCGGGAACCTATCCGCACAAATCTACAATCACACCTCCAGGGCAAGCCTCCCACAGCCTCAGGTGGAGCCAACTTACGAATCCCCTCTACTCAACTCTTGAAACGAAATTAAAGGTACTCCAAAATTACTCTATTTGTTTATTTATGTTTGGTGAATGTCCCTCATACTAAAGGAGGGAATCTGAAAACACTGAGTAGGCCCTGGGTTCATCGTATGACGGGCTTACCTAATGTGCTGTGACGCTTAAAAGTGACGAGATAATATATGTTTGTCACTTTAGGGTCACCGCATGAGCATGAACTTCCAGGCCTTTAAAAGCCAAAGCAACCTACGGAATTTTATCCTAATTTATGGTTATTAACATTTTAGTAGTACATCATTGTTTCACTTTACTTTAAAATTTCTACGTTTATCCAGGTGGGTGACTTGTCAAGCATTCTTAAAGTTGAAAAAAGAAGATGGCAGACATTGGAATCTGTGAAAGAGTTTCAGGGACGAGAAACGGCTTTTCTCATTGATAGATATCGCTTCCTTGATCTCTTCCCTTGCACAGATTCAGAACTGCGCGCTCTCGGTTATCGGGTCAGTCGTTCTTATTCCAATTTTGCTATCATTACTGAATATATTTATTTTCTCGCCGTACCTTTCTCCTCCCTACCTTAATCTATTCATCTGATGATTTTCCTCATTATATTTCGCTTCATGACAACATTTGATATCACACCACACTGATACTAATTCAAGCTTTGCTGCTAATCGATTGGTCTTAAGATCTCATGAATTCATAGTCTTGAATCACCACCGCAAATCGTATTTTTTGTGGCATACTCATACGTCAATATTTTCGATTTTTCTGAACGAAATTACAGGCTTTTTGCTATATTTACAGAGTCAATCTACCTACGGAAAGTTCCTATCCTAAATTTTACTAGAAATATGTTTCTAAATATAGCTATGCTTATATAATTAGATCTTTTTAAATATTTAAGCACATTACAGCCAAAAATCCTGTAATTTTATCATGCAATATCTTGGTCGATCATATTAGGCTCCACTTTAATGCTTCTTGCATAGCATAGGCACTCGACACCATACCATAAGATAAATAAAATAGGCAAGTCTTCTCTGGTTTATATAAGCTAATCTTTTTGCCTATCAGCATAATTTGGCAATAAAAATTAGCTGGCAAGATATAGATGTATTGAACGCAACTAGGTTTTAGCTTCGATAACTCTGGCCAGAGCTCTCGTGCTTTGAGTAGATTCTATAATAACTTATTTTCCGGAGAAAAGTTTCTTCTCAGTAATTCATCTATTTTCTTAACTATTGCAGTCAATTTTTCAGAATATTTTATCCTTTAGTATTTCTATAATTTTTCAATAAAATGATACTCTAGACCTTTTAAAATATTTCAATATAACTTCTAAAAGATAGCCGCTTATCTTTTAACACAAATTCATTCACTTAACTATTTATTTAACTTTTTATTAGGAGCTTTTGAGGCACCATCTGGCTGGATTTGCCAATTCTAGAGGATTTCTCGACGATACTATAGGAATAAATGCGGGTTGTGAATCTATTTCTTTGGCTGCCGGTGAACCAGGCGCTAGTTGTGACGATATGCTTGTTACTGTCAGTGGTGCTACGGGGACAGGTGGAATTGTGGGTAATGTAACCAGCGGCGGAGCTAGTGGAGGAGTGACCTCTAGTGTGGCATCGTTAGCTGGCGGCTTGGGTGACTTCATGTTGACTGGTGATGGCCATCTTCACCATCATCATCACCGACCAGCATATCCACAACCCGATGTTAATCACATGTTGCCATTTAAACCTAAAGCCTATCCTCGGATCGGAAGTCACCCTGTTGCTGGAGGAGAATTCCCACCTCCACCAACTGCATCTCATCTCCTCCATCTGCTCCCACCACCCCAGTGCTTTATGGGACCCTTCGTTGATATTGATCGCTTTCTGGAACACTTTATCAACCTAGATCTTCCAAAGGGTTAGTTATGTTTCGTTTTTTGAGCAGACTGCTATTTACTCCTGATACTTTGAGAGTTTCCTATCGTTATTACATACTTCTCCACCTTTCACCGTATTTCCTATGGCCTTCGAGACCAAGACGGCATGGCCTCTATTTTGGCCGCAATCTCATTTCGATGTATAAAATTTGTCTGACCTCGTTTTACAACTTCGCTATGATGTCAAGACAATCTGGAATAGCATACCCCATATTGCGCCTCTACTATAATAGTCATCATAATTTCCAGCGCCGAATTGAGAATGTATTTCTAGATGTCACAGTAAGCCATCAGCCTTGACACAGAGATACTCCTCGTCAAAAAGTAATTGAAGCCTATCCCTTGATAAACTTTCAGTAGAAAGCTAATCAAAGGATGAACGTCAATTCTCTCTTACGAGCTGTGATCCGGTGCCAAGGTTGGTAAAGCTCACTCAAGATCCCAGCGAAGCGTCTGATAATGTCCTCTGCTGGAAAATATGATGAATACTCCGAAAGGGAAAACACAACGGTACGTCCTTTAAGGTCTCCTTGTTACCGATTCAATATTTTCTTTACACTTTTTATACTCATGCCTTCCACGAGGTTTAACCCAAGATTTTTCGTGATGCAGGCTATCTTGAATGCAAAGGCCTTAATAGAACTTTGCTTATCTTTACTCATGACGGGGCGTCATGATTATATTGTTCCTCTTTATTAAAAGCTCTAGTTATTCCAAAAGCATTTAAATTCTTCGGATTAGTGGGTATTTATGTCATTAGCATTACAAAGGCGCTGTCCTATTGTATGTATTGAATAAGAGCTTAGTCACTAAGATTCTTTGGGGACTAAGTTGAGTTCTTCCACAATGAGATGAGAGTAGACCTCATGATACAATTGAATTTCACTTAGCATTGCTTCCTAAAATGTAATCTTATCTCAGATGGACCCGCCCGAGTCTCATCAGCACTCAGTTAAGGTCGAAAACGCAGTCCATCCTAGATGAGAATACATTTTGAGAAGCAAGGCTAAGTGAAATTCAATAGAAAAATGAGGCCTGCTTATATGATTGTGAGAAAATTCAACTATCATTACTTCACCTTATTACAGCCTAGAGCGAGTACAACTCTTATTCAAGATCCACTGGCAGCTTCTAAGTCTCTTCATTCCGAATATTTAGACGAGTCTTACGTCCTTTGTCCGCCAGTTATGTTTTGACTTTGCGGCCTATTTCATGTTCAGAAGATCTCTTGTGTGTCAGCAGGTATTTTATATATTTTAACACATGAACACAAGATCTTGTATAAATATGATCAGCAGAAAGAGCCCGGAGATTATTAACAAGTGATAATTGGAGTGTTATTTCGTTTGAGAAGTTGACTGGAAGGGATTAGTAGGTTAGTCTTACCGGACACTTAAGAAGGATACCCTTAGACTTTTTTTGCTGAATTGTGCGTAGTAGACCGGCTCACCATCCTACAGCTCTGATGACTCCGTGTTGAGCTTTCTTACTCAATGTGACGAACATCATCAAAGCCAGAAACTTAACTACAAAAGATGGCCAATCTATTAAACTCCCCTACCCGCCCCAAACTAAATGAAAGGTATTTCAATATCAATCTACTAGGGGATTTTTCGAAGCCCAGCCTCTCTTCATAACTGGGAAGTGTTTTCTCTTTACGCATTATTTTGTCACCTTTATTATATCTTCTTGAATTCTCAAATAATTAGCAATCAATCTTAATGTACAATTACTCTCAACTAAATTGTTCTTTAAATTTATTATCTAGTCCTAGTAATTTACATGCCAGATGCAGACGTATTTATTATCCATAGACAGTATTGAAACATAATCAATCAGGATGTGATAGCAATTCAGATTATCGGATACAGCACACTACCTTTCCTATGTTAGTATATAAGCAGTTTCAAGAATACCAGTAAATCAGTTATATGAGATGTATTCACGCTATTTTGTTTAAAATGATGAACAGATAGTTCAATGTGATGTGAAAAAACCTGGCTACCCTTGAAATTCGCATCTGCCTTGTGACCCAAGGGCACTCGTGGTAATGTGGCTGAGTGGTTAACGTGTCAAGCTCACATGTACTGTCACGGTTCGACTCTTGCTAGGGGTGTTGAGGTCGAAACTGCACTCGACTTCTAGAATTTGATTAAATTCCGTGAATCCCCAGAGGCATAGCATTACGCAACATTCCCTCCTTGCCAATCGAGAAAAGATGAGATACATCGAATTTCGACCCGGAATTCAAATCCTGACGTGAATATAATTCAGATTCGATACATTGATACATTTTGGATGTAAGACGCTAAAGCACTAGAAGTCTCAGATTA